CCGCCATCGATCCGGAAGACATTAGCTAGTCCAACTAGAAGTGGTATAAGTAAGTTCCACCAAACAGGTGACTTTCGCGTGAACCCGACTCATTATCCCGTCTGGTGTAAGCATTTCTCAATCTGGTCGATTTTCGGACGAACGAACTTCGCCGTGTTTGGTCACATAATTCGGACGAAAGAACTTCGCCGTGTTTGGTCACAGTTCAACATACGGTTCATTTGCATTGGGTAATTAGCCGATCGGTTTAAAGCGAGTGGCTTCTACCCGAACGTGATGAACAGGTTTCATGCATACAGGCTCGAGGAAATCGGTTGAAAGGGGGGAATAGCCCAGTTTGTTCTCATGTCTCTGAAGAGTGGAGGTGATCGGCCAGCTGTTCTCTAACAAAACCCGTGGATAATCGAGAAGAGGTGAAAGCGATAATGCAGAGTTGTTTGCGACCAACTCGAACTAAATGGCGACACACTATTGGACACGAAAGTAAAAATCTCACTGCCACAGAGTCCTTTAGCTTCCGCGGACGTCCTTTGAATACCGACTCACCAAAACTAACCTTCCATCAGACGGAGGTTTGACACCATAAAGGACACTACTCACATGTTTCGTTAGTAGTAGTATACGTCGCCACACCCTTTCTTTTCGAAAATTTGCATGTGTGCCACTGATCAACGATTTGTCTCAGTTATACTAGCCTCGGAAGCTGGTCTCCATACGGTACCCATTCGGGCATGTCGCACCATTTTTGTTTCACCCAACAATGTGGGTCTTTCGGCTCCTAGACACGAACACAGAGAATAATCTACCAGATGAGGTTCCATAGCGTCGTATTCAGAGCTGGGAGCACAACCATCGCCAAATGTCGATGTCACAAGGTCAAAATAGGTCGGATAACCGCGTAGAGGATACCGGAATATGCTCTGCAGAACTTAAACTGGTACAGGCTGATCCGGTTGGTGGTAGGTCAGACCACCATCATGACCTTTTGCGAAGATCATCACTCGAGGCACTAGTCAACACGCGACAGGATGTGCTTCGCATGATGATAACGGGACGAGTGGCATGAGGGTTGATCACAATGCTGACGAGCCACAGGTGACCAAAAAAGTTGTGGCTTCCCGAACCCGGGAAACTAGGGGTTCGAAACTCCTAACTTCAGTTTGATGAGATGCGCACCGCTGATGATTCTGGACGGCACCTGTACACGCAGTGCTTCTCAGCTTTTCGGGCTTCACGTGCACGACGAGACCCCAATTGAAAAGTCTCAAATTCTTTCACACCCACAACAGCATAGTTAGCCTCTTCCAGGGGGTGATCCCCGAAAGTTTTCAAAATGTTTTGCTCTCGTTGGAATCCGTTGAGACCTGAGCCCCAAGGGTTCTTTCGACGTATCGCAGAGCGGCTGGGCGTAGTATGCTAAGATTGGAGCAACGTAGTCCTATTGGTTAGGCAGGTATCGTGAGGCGATTGCCGCTCAGTTGTAACGATGCCTACGTGCCATGCCAGCCGAAGGAAACACAAGGGCTGGAATACTGCTAGGTTGCCCAAGCCTGGACAATTGGAAGTGCAGAGTTTGGGTTCGATCCACGCGACTTTCAGTCAGTAAGCCCACACCTTGACCAGTGAACTGTTTTAAACCACACTTTCCAGCTACCGGCTGTTGGTTAACTTGTCCCGTAAGTGGGTTATGGCCCACCGCGTGGCCCATACGGATTGGAGATACGCGTCATCTGCGAATTAGATTAATGTCAACGGAAAACTCAGGCAGTCTCCGATCCGATTTGGTCAATCAATATAATCACGCCAAGTTTGTTCACAACAGTCTCCTCACAAAGAAACATCCAGACGCATTGGGGACTTCATGAACGAGGACTGAGATACCACTAACAAAGCTTGACAAAGCAGCGGGAATAGTACTTATGAACGGCGATGACTATCTCAGAATCGTTGAGCTGTAACACAGTGACTGGCTGCCATGCGACCTGAAGGAAGCCCGAGGGCTAGGATACTGCCGGGTTGCCCAAGCCTACACAGAGGAAGTCGAGAGCTGAGGTCAGGTGCGAACCGCGGACCTTCCGGTCACTAAATTAGCGCTCTAACCACTTGAGCGATCTCGCCCCAGAAAGATAATGCAGTTCTGGAATGATACCGCAAAATTTAACAAACAGTAAAAGACCGGATCCGAGAAACTGAGCTAAAACTGCTTCAGTGGTTAGAGCGCGAATCTACCGACCGCAAAGTCCGTGGTTCTGCTTCTCAACTTCCCCTGTCTAGGGTTGGGCAACCCGACAGAATCCCGGCCGTCGTGTTTCCTTCTGGTGGCATGACAGCCAGGCACTGAAAGAGTGCTGCAGCTGAACGACAGACTGTTTGAAACGCCCAAGGAATGAAGGTTTAATTTCTGAAATCTTATCCCAACGCCTGAAGCCTGGTGGTACCACGATTTCGTGACTCAGACTGCTTGAAACGCCCAAGGAATGGTTTAATTTCCGAAATCTTATCCCAACGCCGGAAGCCTGGTGGTACCACGATTTCGTGACTTCATGGTCTGCCTAAGTTCATCGGAAAAATGTACCATTAAGAACTATTTTGGATACGTGTAGTGATTGATCGAGATGTTAGAACCCCTAAACCGACATTTATATCGGTACACTCTCCGTCACACTTTTGCCTTTGCTCTTTTGACGTAACCTCACTTTTTACCAAAATCCCACTCTTGCAGTCTATACATTTTATCCGTGATTATGTTGACTTCACACCTTCAGTCCGCACCGTCTCCTTAAAGGAACTGCTCCTTCGCTGCACTTTTAACGTACATTTTCAATCTGATTTCACACTTTTACCGACGGGATGGCCCAAGAGTTTAGAGCGCGAATTTACTGACCGGAAGGTCCGTGGTACGAACCTGATGTTTGCCTCTCGAGTTCTCCTGTCTAGGCTTGGGCAACTTGGCAGTATCCCAGTCCTCGTGCAACCTTCGGGTGGCATGGCAGTTAGGCAATGAAAGGGTGCCACAGCTGAACGATTTTTACCGACAAATCGGTGGAGTTGCCATGGCCTCTTCTCTTGCTCGCTTGATAAGTGACATTTTTGTGGGCGAACTGGAGCTCGGTCAATTGAATGGGGAGATCAGACGTACGCACTTTTATCGAAGGTACCTAATATCAAACGGTTCCGAAACGGATGCTCTCCTGACCGAATTCAACCGAGTACATCTCTCCATTTTTGTGAAACCGCAAATGGCAACGTTCTCCACTTCCTGGACGTCAAATTAGTCAAACTTTCCACGGGTTCAATTCACAGATCTGTTCACAGAAAGCCCATGCGAACAGGACAATGTACAAACGTCCATAGTTTTGTGGGAATGAGGCAGAAACGAACTCTGCTGATACACTGGACTGTGAAACACAGCCTATCGTTAACGTGCTCCAAAGACTATCCAGAGATTTATGACCGAGAAAATATCCGAACGCCCTATCCAACCACCTATCACGACCGTTGAAATAAAACCAATCTACTTAAGGCCGATATGTTGGCACACAGTCAATTGCCGCTTGTTTTAATCCCTACAACGCTCATTTCCGCCTGGAACTCTGCGGTCTTGGTTTTCAACCAACCCTTTGCTTAACTCAAACCCCAAAGACAAGATGCCAGTCCTCACCCAGAATATGCTTGTGTATTTTTCATCCCGCTCTTGTTAAGCAGGCACGGCAACTTTCGAAGAAAACACGTGAGCATCTCTCTTGCCGGAGCACCGTTCAGGCGAAAGCTCAATCGCGTCCCACTCACTGGACACCGGGCATGCAGCCATTTCAAACGAGTCAATTCATCTCATCTGCCGAGTACCCAATAGACTGTCAGTATCGATCCGGAGGATGTCGCTACACATCTGCGAAACCCGCTGCTGTGCTGTCAAAAGCGAAAGCCGAGTCTGCCTTGGTCATGTGACTCGAATCAACCGGCCAAGTCATCCAACGGCCTTGTAGACTGTCTCACGGCATCCAATCCGATGCGACTTGGGGGCACCGACAACCAATCGTTCGTGTGTCCACGTTTTTTTTAAATTTTTTTCACTAACCAATCGCTGCTCCTTTCATTATTTACCCCTATTTTTATCATTAGATATGTATTGATTTGGTGACTAGATCCCGACAACTTTATTGTTCATCACTGTGTTCTTACTTTGGAGATGCGTTCAACATTATCAACACTAAGTCTGGGAAATCGACTCAAAACGTTGAGGAGAGAGCAGCACTAAGGCATAAAGGATGTATCAGCCCCCGATGGCGGCCAGTGACATTATACCCTGGACGGCTATTCGTGGTCCGAATGCCACGCCCGTATCCTGACTGCTTCTGCCTGGGCTTGAGAAAACTGAGAGTACATCGGCCGTCGTGCTTTCACCAGGCGGCATGGAAGTTAGTCACCGAAAGGATATTACGGCTGAACCGTACTGTTGATCAGCTGCTCATAGATCAGCTCGGGTTCCGCAAGTGAAACGGGTTTATGGTGATCCGTCGTTTCTCAGTGCCGCGATTTTTCCCTAACTGACGCGAGTATTACCGACTGCAAGGGGGTCACGTTCATTGAACTCGCGAGATCCAGCAGTCCCGATTGATTCCTGTAGCCCAGCTTGACAGAAGAGCTAGTGGGGAGGGGAAAATCGGTCTATTCCAGTAGTTTGATCCCTGAAATTTGCTCATTTTTGTCAAACTCGCAGTAGGATTGCGATCATGGGAATACAGGGCTTAAAAGTGGATAGTAGTTGGTCGCACCAGAGGTGTGGGACGATAAAATTGGTCAAACACGTGAATAATTTGGGAAAAATCGATTTCTGGTTCCATTCACCAAAACCTAGTGTCGATTCAGAGTGCTGTTCTCAACTACACGTGAAGAGCTTTGTAGCATTTGAAATAAAGTACCTTGTTTGGACAAACAACTTGATCACCGTAAGCGCAGAAATCAAGGAGACACGTGATGCGACCGCTAAAACAACTCACCCATGGCAATCTTCTCCGGGAAAACCGACAGGAAAGGCTTGAATACTGTGAGGAAAGTAGATCTGTACAGTTCGGGCGAATCGAATACCGTTGACCAAAGAAATCAACTCGTTGGAGATGAGATCACTCGAAAATACCAACAGGGAGCGTTCGATGTGTTTTACGCGCTCCAACGAGGCGATGAGCAACCGGAGATTGTCCAGTCGGGAATGAACCTAAACAAAGTCCGGATGTTCGGAGAAGGCAGATTTAAAACAGACGTTGTGGGTTGCTTGTCACTTTGTACATCAACAGCCTGTTGCTACTAACTAGGTCACATGTGTAGCCCATCTGATGAGCTGGAACCCGTAAAATTTGGCATTTATGGGTCGGATCATATCTTCCTTAAGTAGAAGACAAACGTCGCATCATTCTATGTGGTACGATGCGATTAAAAAAGCTACCCTGAGCAAGATTAGCCTACTCATATTCCGACAAAAGTGTACGTCAATCTGTACTTGGAGGTCAGAGTCCATTAACAGAGGTGAGATGACCAGGCTATCGGAAGAAAACAGGTCTGCTAGTTACTCGAATGTGCCGGTCCATGTGTAGTAACCCCCCAAAAAGAAATCATCATGACAAACAGAGGAATTCAGCCTTTTCGACTTTGCCTTCGAGGGAAGGCAGCATCGCTGCTTCCATAAATATGGACATGCTGGTCGCCTGGGGGAAACACCTTACTGCCTTCACACTCCTGTCACAGAGGACGCTCCAACTTTATTCACAAACAGCCTCGTAGTACGGGGTCTCGCTGCTCCCTTTTGGCCCTCCTGGCATGATTGCACCTTGTGGAACGAAGTTCCAGTCCGTGTAGCCCGCAAAATCTTCGCAGCACTCAGGCCCGACTGCCACGTCAAGGTGGCAGCTTTCAGGTCGGGGGATTTAGCCTCTTCTAGGGATGATAGTTTGAATTCAGGGAGGGGGCAAATCCCGTCGTCGTGAGTGATGCACACTACGGAATCCAAGGAACCAGCCGGTTATTGTAAAAAAAAGTCCAGTTAGTTGAAATCGACAGTCTAAAGACAACGACAGCGTAATCCGAACAACACACTGGAACATCACAAAGAAAGTGCCTCACTTGAATGACAAAGACAGAGTCTGGGAATGCGTCCAAATCTGCGTGACTGGGCGAGGGCAATCGTCCGAACAAATCCTCGTTGCGAACGAGCTGATGACGGTTGGCCAACTGAATAAAGCTGGACAGTGATGTGTTTTCAGGAAGAAACTCCTTATTCATCTTGTCGGCCCTGAGAGTCTGGTCCTGGTTAGGAAAAGAAGAGATCAGGAATGGATGGGAACATGCGCCCGCAAAATAGTATAGTGTAGTACATAGTATGATAAATAAGAATGGCAGCAAGACAAGTGGTCTTTGCGTTTGGAACTTTTCATCGTTCAAAGTCTCTTGAACTCACATCAGGCCATTCCAGGGTTACTCTTGAGACGCTCCAGCAGTGATTTCGACTTTAAACGTTTTTCAAGCAATCACCTGCCGATCGGGCAACTCAGAAAACGCGTCCTATGATCTTATGTAACATACACACACGCCAACAATTCCACATGCCAATTTCAGGGCCGTGTGTGCGTGGCGGGCTGACTGGGAACCAAGACTGACTGTCATCTGCCCTCGAATTTTATTAGAGCCTCGTTTAATACGAAACAAATGAGTCAAAATAAAGAAGACAGATTCCGGCCAGTAGTTTAAAGGCAACCGTTCGAAAACGAGTTGAGTGACTGATCAACAGTGTGCTTAGCTCGCACATACACAGGATGTAACATCAGTCATCCTTCAATCACAAGATCCACACTCGTATTGATTGGTTGCTCGAGTGAAGAGTTCTCGGATGGGAGGTTTGGATTGCGGAAAGGGCGAGATGGCCCAAGTGTTTAGAGTGTGGATTTACTGACTCGAAGGTATGTGGTTCGAACCCGACCTCTGCCTCTCGGCTTCCCCTGTCTAGGCTTGGGCAACCCGGTAGTAGTACAGCAGCCCTCGTACTTCCTTTGGGTGGCATAGCAGTTAGGCACCGGAAGAGTGCTATAGCTGAACGATTTTTTATTGCGGAAAGTTTGCGACCCAATGCATAGCTCCTGTCCCTATTCCCCCAATTAACAGTCCACCCACAGTGCTGTATTTACGCATCAATTATGCCAGCCCCCGCCTCCAATGCGCAGCTACCCACCCCACCTCCCCAAATCATCGGTAAACGAAACCGAGGCGGCTACAGACACTGTACGACAAGTACGCGGTTCTTGCAGCTGATTAGGATGATCATGATGATGATGAGACCCAGGTGAGTAGGTCAAACAGTCTTGCCACTCAAAGGTGAGTGGGCACTAGACTAAATCAATGGATACGTTCGTCAGTGACCGACAGGCAGTGACAAATTTGAAGCAAAATAGTCGTTGGTTTGACGGATAAGTCCGTAATAACCGATTGCAGAGGGTTTCCTATGCTGAGCGTGTAGGGGTCGCGTTACGCCCAGGGGTGAAACTACACACTACTGTCTGGTTGCCCAAGCCTAGACAGGGGAAGCTGAGAGGCATATGTCTGGTTCGAACCACGGATCCTTCGGTTAGTAAATTCACGCTCTAACCACTTGGGCCATCTCACCTCCAAAGTACGGGCACCGCCGCCGCCGGGATTCGAACCACGGCGCACCAGATGGTCGCTCCGCGCGCTGAGCACTACGCCACGGCGGCGACGAAACTGAACACGTGGAAGATAATCACGGAAGCTCTCAAACTGATTTCCTGACAACTGACTATGAGTATAGGAACTTGCAACCGCCGTTCTATTCCTCTTAATTATATTTTTCGGTCTACAATGATCAAAAATCACCAGATGACCAGCTGGACCTATCCTTTATCCATTCATTCTCGACTTGTGTTTTCAGAAGGATGTGAGCCACTCCCGAAAGGTGGGACACCATTCGCTGCGAAGTTATTTATTAGTAAACACGAATTAAGCAGTTACAAGCCATTAGACACGACTGTAAACATCTCATCTGCACAAAGGTTTGAAAAGTGAACATTCTCAAGCATCCCCTTGAAATCTCCTGGACGTTCACCAAATATCATACACTAGTGAACTGCAAAGCGGTTCGATAATTTCCATGGTAACCTTCACTTTCCATGCGAGGTGGAGCTCGGGCACCAAACCATAAACTACTCGTATGCTCCATCAGTAGTGTACACCATGTCTGCAAGAAGGCCGGGTGATCTAAACTCTATTTGGGGCGATTGCCTGTCCAAGCAAGTAACCCTAAAACGCATTCCATTAGAACAGTCAGATAACCTGTTGCGAGATGTTATCGGTTCACCTACCTCGTGATTGACAGTCACATATATCGTGAATCGTACAACACAAACGGCATGCAGAGTGTTGTTCTTCCACAAGGCTGCAAATATCTGTACGACAAATCAGTTACCAATGGCGTGGGGGGACAATGAGAACAAACCATCCCAACTGCATATGAATTTGGTTTTGACGGGAGCTGAATCTCTCGGTTCAACTATGAGCGTGCTGGGCCAGGCCACCTCATGTTTCACTTGGCACGATATTTGAGATATTGAAATATGTTGTCAATACACAACAGGCTACTCCCAAAGTTGTCAAGCAATTTTCAGCAACCTTATGAGTAGTTCCTTGCGTCTTGAAAATTACTGTGTCTATTAATCCGACGTGACTGTAGTTCATACAACGATACAAGGAAACCTTGCTAATGAACGTATCTAGCTGACGAACGGCGCCTGATATCAAAAACCCAAAGTATTAGGCTTCGGACCAAGTCAAAGAATTCACCTCGGGCGTTATTTTCGGTTTCAGAAACAACTACATTACTAGAACTCATTAGGTTTGTTATTGAAGGATCGCTGACAATGTCCGAAAGATGGTGGTCGCAGATATTCTCGAAACCGCAGCTTGCAAGCACTGAGGTTGGTAGACCAAGCTCACACCTCCAACGTGCAGGCTACGTAGTGGGAGACAAAGTGATGACAGCGAAAACGTTATCGATTCAAGCTGTCTACAGAGCTGTTGAATAGAGCTTCCGATTACTAACTGAAATTCTATGCATCGTTCAAGCTTACTCATTAATGGGGCGAGATGGCCCAAGTGGTTAGAGCGCGAATTTACTGACCGAAAGGTCCGTGGTTCGAATCCGACCTCCGTCTCTCGACTTCCCCTGTCTAGGCTTGGGCAACCTGGCAATATTCCAGCCCTCATGCTTCCTTTGGGTGGCATGGCAGCTAGGCACAGCTACAGCTGAACGCTTTCTTTCTTTTCACTGGTACCGTGTGATTTTCAGTTTGAATCAAAATGCTGCGAACTCGAATTTGACGAATGCTAACATCTCGTCACTCGTGTCGGTTTTGAATGTCGTGAGATTGTACGTCTGGATGGGATCTACTCGCCTGGGGTGTGGCACACTCCAACTTACTCCCCGATGCAACTTGTAGTCACAGTAGCTCCAAACCAACAAGATGGTTTCATTTGTCACGGCAGTTGCAGCACATGAAACGTAAGCGCCAGGTCCACATTCGCCTGTTTGCGTCCCATGAAGAAGCTCGAGATAGCTCGGTTGTTAGGGCGCGAACCTATAGACCGGAAAGATCCTGGTTCGAACCCAACATCGGCATCTCGACTGTTTCTGTTTTGGCTCGGGTAACCTAGCAGTATCTCAGCCCTCATGCATCTTTTGGGTGGCATGGAAAATAGGTGCCAAAGGAGCGTGAACGATGATGACGATGACTGTGCATTAGGAAACCGAGTTAAGGTAAAGTGGAGAGGCTGGCCATGAAGTATGGCTACTCGGCCAATGGAATCGAAATGGTCAACTTTCTGAACGCCGACTCTTGGGGCGAACACTATCCGTTTCGGGATCCATATCGAGAGAGCTACAAAGTGTGTGGAAGAAAAGGAGCTGTGTGCACCAAAAGAGTCTAGTGCGAGAAGGAGCTCCTTTAGAATGGACTGGCGACCGCGGTACTTCTCGCTTTCAAAAGTCCCGGAAATCGTGCCAGAACACTCAGCAAAGCTCAGTGCGAAAAATAGTGACACAACGAGTACCTCTCTTCGAGTTTGCGCTTATATAGTTCGCAAAGATCAGCTTTGGTTATTGATAATAGCTGTACTTAAAGTCTGACTGGTTCAATCGTGATCTATATTGCGTTGGCCGATTCGTGTCTCCTTTAGTAAAAGCGTGATTTTCCGCAGAATAAAAACTGCGAATGGTATGAGCGCAAAAGGATGGTAGTGCAGTGGAGCAGAGTAGTCAGTTCAACTACCACTTCTTGCATACAATGATGAATAAACATGTGGGGAATAGTCGCTCAGCTGTATGTGGGGAATAGTCGCTCCAGCTGTGACCCCTTCCAGTACCTAGCTGCCACACTACCCCGACGAGAGGACGAGGGCTGAGGTACTGATAAGTCCCCTGAGCCCTCACAAGAGCGGTCGATATGCCGAGTTTCAGTTATAACCCCATCCCTTTTGGTCGGTGAGGTCGCGCCTGAACCACTGAGCTATCTCGAACTCTTTACTGCACTTGAGGATTGTTAAGGGATCAGTACAGGTACCGAACAGAGGAATGTAGAATGTGAAAAGTTTTCCGAGCAGGCCACTAGTCCTCGGCTACAGAGACTGTTTTTTGCTGTCTTTTTTTTCGTGATGAAAAATCCAGATCCACCGTATGTTCTGCACAACTTATACCCTCGTGCCACACAAGAGTTGGATAAATAGGCTTTGAATCGTACTTGTTGAAACCTGTCTTTACTTCAGAACTTGATAGCTGGATCGATAGGACTATTTGCTCCGGGATTACTGTACTTACAAGATCGCTGTATGCCTCCATAATCCATTGAGGTATACTGGCTGGTGTTCGTGCGGCACTCGCAGAATCTCTCGTACCAGGCTGGGGTTTGGAATGTGCGCTTGTCCTACAGAGCCCATGTTTTGCTCTGGCAGTACGGCAGTGAAGCATCAGTGGCAACACTGATGTTGCCGTCTTTGATTATTATTATTATTATTATTATTATTATTATTATTATTATTATTATTATTATTATTATTATTATTATTATTATTATTATTATTATTATTATTATTATTATTATTATTATTATTATTATTATTATTATTATTATTATTATTATTATTATTATTATTATTATTATTATTATTATTATTATTATTATTATTATTATTATTATTATTATTATTATTATTATTATTATTATTATTATTATTATTATTATTATTATTATTATTATTATTATTATTATTATTATTATTATTATTATTATTATTATTATTATTATTATTATTATTATTATTATTATTATTATTATTATTATTATTATTATTATTATTATTATTATTATTATTATTATTATTATTATTATTATTATTATTATTATTATTATTATTATTATTATTATTATTATTATTATTATTATTATTATTATTATTATTATTATTATTATTATTATTATTATTATTATTATTATTATTATTATTATTATTATTATTATTTGCTCTGGCAAGCGTAACACTCATAGAAGACCGACCAACACATCCTCCTGGGTCTCCAGTTTGGGGGTTGGAACCGGTACGGTGACTTGTCTTACAAAAATGGCAATGCACTTGCGTTTCCCAAGAATCTCCACTACCTTACCGTCAGCCTTTTGAACCACAAGCCCTGGCTATGAACACTGATCTGAGGCTAACACAGCCCGCGTAAGCCTACGAACGTTACAACTAAAAGTATTCCCATGTCACATCAGCCATCGCGCGGTGTCACCACCAGCGAGGTCACCTGTGGCCTCTAAGAGAACCCCGCTTTCTAGAACTACCTCACTTGGTATTTGCGAGGGTTCCCCTGGAATGTTTCAAGGTTTACAAAAACCTCGAAAAGAACACTTACCTGCTTTTCTTTGTGGTTTATCGCCATGGATCCGTAATCCCAAAGCAAGACAATGTCCCCAGACCGACGAAAGGGATTGAATGTAGTTAATATTCGGAAATGGCGGAGAATGACATTAATCAGGCCAAATAATAAAACGAACAGGATGACATATGCTAAAGCTCGTAGCGGTTTTCTCATTAGTTCTGAAAAGGAAGCGGAAATGCGATGGACAACTCAACTGGATGAAAAACCAACATACATGGAACATGAAATACATGGCCCGTCGGTAAAAAAAAGCATCTTTTTAACGCATAGAGATTTGTCTAAGATAAAGCGGGTCGAAATTAACCAAGTAATCTTGGGGAGGAATTCGATACCATATATACCGAAATACACTACCAATCTATACATAAGGCCTGAAAATGGGGTTGACGGATACTCAAAAACTACGCCTGTCTGACAAGGCCCATGAGGGGCGAAGCCGTACGAGGGCTGAGATACTGCCAGGGTGCCACACCTAGACAGGAAGACGACTAGGGTCCTCAACCAAAGCCTTTGGCTCAAAAGCCTGACCGCAAGGCAGCGGTGTTGGGCTAGGAATGCAAGCACATTACCATTTTTACGGAACATGTCGCCATACATGTTCCAGTCCCCAACCTGGAGTGCCAGGAGACTGTCTTTGTCAGACCTCCACCCATGGACCAACCTGCTATGAGAGACTGTGAGTGTCGCGAGGAAACCCCCCAGTATAGCCCAATGGGTCGCCGAGGTACACAGACTCCCACACCACGGTAAGGTCCAGTATCTTCGTGACGGAAAGGCCGACACCAGTAACACTTCTAAGACATCGGTGATCAAAAGCCCGAAAACACCACACAGCATCATCCTCAAAGATTATACCTTGAAACCATACAATACAGCTCTTACTATATATATATGAGGTACGTAAAGACTTCCACAATCTCCAGTGATTCTCCTTGAATTTTAAGGGATATGTTCGCAGATGGCACGTTCTGAAGCAGGACTTTGCACTTTGAAGGTGCAAGGCGCATGTCGAAAGATGGTATGATGGTGGCCATTCTATTCAACAGAGATTGTACTTTGCTTTGGTCTTCAGAGATGAGGGCGATGTCATCTGCGTACTCCAGGTCGACAAGGCTCTCGCCAGCAACAATGTGAACACCGGGGTTTTGAAGACCGTCAGTGTTCGCCTCGTTAATTCATTAATGACGAAGTTGAACAAGAATGCAAAGAGTGGACACCCTTCTCTGACACCACTTTTTGTAGGGAAGGTTTTGGAGAGCTCACCATGCACTCTCACCCACCCAGAAGTATGTGAACATAGGAATCGGATTATGCTCAGACTTCTGGGGCATACCCTGTTGAGCAAATGTAGTTAACATCACTGATCGACCGACAGAACCGAACGCACTGTTGAAGTCAAGGAATACTACGGTTGTAGATCGTTTGTACATATGGCGTTGCTCTAACACTTGACGTGGTCTACACAGTCTCTACCCGCTTGAAACCCCGCTTGATTCCCACAGGTCAACATTTCGCTTGCCGCCGTCAAGTGACGAAGAATTAGTGACGCCAGAAGCCTTGTTGCAACGGGAGTCAAACTAACAACCCTGTGGTTACCATATTCACTAGGCATATTTACCGACTCACCCGTTGCGCCCAGTACAGTATATTCGTCCCAAATAGGGGCAACTCACCACCAGAGCGGGCGAAAGTCGCCTGGACCAAGAGACTGAGTAGAGATATTCACTCGGACATCTCAGAGGCTGAAGGGAGCTACATATTCACAGGCCACGCTTCTGTGAAAGGCTGACAGTCCAGGATGCAGATAGCACGCGGCCAAGTGAACTACTGTTCTAAGTACTGTGCCCAACTGTCTGAATGTTCTCCCTTGCTGAATATTAGGGCCATTCTGATCCCTGAGGGCTTCGCCGACAAAAAGATTTCAAGAACCGGTCGAACGAATCAAGTGGAATAACCCATGGACTTTTCCGGCATTTTTGCACCTTCCATTTCCTCGGTCTTTCGGATCCACCAAGCCGCCGGGTTTGCACAGACGCTGTCTCACCTGGCGTCGGATGATGCGTGGGGTTGGGCTGAGATTGCGGCCAGGAGGAACCATTCATTGAGCATCCAGGAAAGCCATGATCCTATCAGAGACCCAATGTTTGGATGAGACTGACTGGGTTGTACCGCAAACGGTAGCCCCGGTTTTAAGTAGGGCTTTGGATATTATTTTTAGATGGCCATTATTATCCGACGTCGTACAATCTGACAGGCTTTCGAGAGGGCAGTTATGATACGTCCGTTTGATTTCTGGGTCCATTAGCCTCTCAATGGCTAAGCGGGTGAGCGCGCTTTGCGTAGACCTGAAATGCGCAATCAAAAGTGGCGGATAGGTCCATGGTTGGAGTCCACGCAGGTATTCCAGAAGGGGCGACAGGTGATTACTGACTCTTTCCACCAGTAACAATGGCCTCTTGTATTCAGCAAGGCAAAGCAGCTGATGAAAACACGCGACGGCTGATGTGACATGGACGTATTTTTAGTTGTAACATCCGTATGCCTAGGCAGGCTGGGATAGCCTCAGATAAGAGAATTATTAGTGTCCTCAGCCAAGGGTTCTGGTTTAAAAGCCTGACAGCAAACAACGGATGAATGTACTTAATGGACGTGGTGGCAATCGTAAAACATAAAACAAACCCGCTTATTATTCTTTTGGACGGTATTTAGTGGCCACACGATGAGAATGGTTGTCAACCTATGGTTGTAGAGAGTCCGCTTCATGCCATAATTTAGGGTCCAAATCAAGACGGTTATGAAAAGGACTGTGTCGCAGATAAAGACAAATCTACCGTTTGTAACAGCAATCACAGAGGAATCTGCCTTCCCAGAACGAGCTTCCCGGAAGACAGGAAGAATCATTTAACTACCATCCGGTGGATATAAACTCACTTATCTAAAAAGTATTGGAGGATAACCACTGACAGTGTAGCCGCACGTCCCTCACAGGGTGCACTTCACTAGCAGCACAGCAACGAGTTAGTGTATGGAAATTATCGTTTTCTACAAAGGATCTCTAAAGGGTGGAAGCGAAATGGCCCAGTGGTTAGAGCGCGAATTTGCTGAAGGCCCGTGTTTCGAAACCAACCTCTGCTTCTCGACTTCCCTTGTCTAGGCTTGGACAACCTGGCAGTTTCCCAGCCCTCGTGCTTCCTTCCGGTGACACGGTAGCTAGGCGCCGAAAGGGTTCTACAGCTGAACGACTTTTTTCGGACGTCTCTGAAGGGCTTCATTTTGACCAAGAAGCTTCATTAGTAGTCATAGCTGTACATCTCCTCAAAAGACTGCAGCACAGGGAGCGACAAGGAAACACTCATCCATATCGTAATTCGAAGGTGATGGGCTGACAACCGATATGAGGTAAAGCTAAATTTAACCTAAGACCGGTCCACAATGCGAGAAAACTACTTCTGGGGGTATCTCTCAGGACAGAACGTCCACAAGTGTGCATCCTCTGAGGGTTAACGCAACATCTACAAAACGTCGGAAGTCAGCCAACAAAATTACCGAGCCCTTTCTCCTCGATCGGAAAGCTGATGTTTGAAACTTTCGTCTATCTGTGAAGCTCCCTAAAATTCACAGACCAGGATTGTACACAACAGTTCAGGGCAACGCTCTCTGTTATGGCGGCTCTGATAGGGCGACAGTGACCCAAACAAGCACCTAACTGTGAGCGTGTCGTGAATATTCTTCGTGCTCACATTATCGTTTTGTATTAACCATGCTTTCGCCTTCATTTTCAGCTTATGTACGTCTATTCTTAGACAAGTAAAGCGCTATTCATTCTTGTTCTCGCGCTCAATCAGAATCGATATTCTATTCGTAACAATTTACTTGTCTAAGAATACAATGGAACCGTTGCTGCGACCCAAGTGTTTCGACGCAGATCCTAATTCTCCAGACGCAACAACGCGTTGGAATCATTGGTTCCGAACCTTCCAAACGTTTCTGGGCACTGTCGAATCGCCCAATCTAAATAAACTCGAAACTCTGATCCATTTTGTGGATGCACCTGTATACGTTTATATCGCTGACTGTCCAGATTACGAATCAGCTATCAGTGCACTTGAAAAGTTGTACGTTCGTCCAAAGAATATAATTTATGCTCGCCATCTTCTACAAACTTGCAAACAAGACACCAGTCAAGATGTTGATCAGTTTGTTCAGAGGCTTAAATCCTTGGCCAAAAATTGTGATTTCAAGGCGGTGTCCGCCATTGACCATCAAAACGAAAGTGTACGCGATGCTCTAATCAACGGACTTCAGTCTACTACCATCAGAGAACGACTTCTAGCTCAAAACGAACTCACTCTCGATGAAGCTCATGAATTGGCCAGGTCATTAGAATTGGCCCACAAACAAGCTCAGTCATACTCACATAACCAGGCGATATCATTTTCTGCGGCTGCAGCACCTTTACAGACATCTACAGTTATCCCTTCACACTCAAACTCCCCTGATTCTACACCCTATCTCTCGTCAATCAGTTCTCAGATATGTTACTTTTGTGGTCGTTCCAGACATCCACGGTCAAAGTGCCCCGCAAGAGAAGCAGTTTGTAAATCATGTGGCAAAACAGGCCATTTTCAGCGTGTTTGTCGATCCAAATCTGTAAAGTGTCACTCAAATTGCACAACGGATTCGGCCTTATCTTCCCTGTTGACTGCTGCGGCCCCGAACTGCTTGTCTCGCACGGTGACCAGCATAAAGGTGAACGGGATATCGCTTCAGGCCCTCATAGACACAGGAAGTTCGAGCAGTTACATATCTCCTTTGGTGGTTGGTAAACATGGCTGGAAGGTATATGCTAACAATTCTGTGATTACCATGGCATCTACCTCTCTGACGTGTTCAACTAGAGGCTACTGCTACGCATCCATCGATTACAGGGGCACCGTTTACAAAAAGATCAAACTATTGGTATTACCCAATCTATGTGCTGACCTGCTGCTAGGCCATGACTTCCTTGGTCTACATAACAAAGTTGAAATCACATTCGGTGGGGACCGAGGTCCATTCACCCTCTGCGGTCTACCTGCTGCTGCGGTCGAGTCACCTCCTCTTTTTGCTAACCTCTCACCCGACTGCAAGCCTGTTGCTACAAAATCGCGACGTTATAATCCGGACGATGAACAATTTATCCGCTGTGAAGTTAATCGACTATTGGATGAAGGTATAATCGAACCTTCGAGTTCTCCATGGAGGGCTCAAGTACTGGTCACGAAAAATTCAAACCACAAAAGACGCATGGTAGTGGACTACAGTCAAACCATTAATCGGTTCACATACCTAGACGCGTATCCGTTACCGCGACTGGATAAAATGATCGAAGAAATTTCCCGTCATACTGTCTTTAGCACCTTAGACCTATTGAGTGCTTACCATCAAGTTCCAATCAGTGAGCAAGATAAACCGTATACGGCTTTTGAAGCATGCGGAGAGCTGTTTCAGTTCCGTCGTATTCCTTTCGGTGTAACCAACGGAGTAGCATGTTTTCAACGTACTATTGACCAAATAATCAAGTCTGAGAACCTAAGTAGCACCTACGCTTACATCGACAACGTCACTATTTGTGGGACTACCCAAAGTGAGCATGACCAGAACCTCAAATCTTTCTTTGAAGTAATAAGAAAATATGGAATTACCCTTAACTGTAAGAAAAGCATCATAGCAGCCAAACAAATACGCCTTCTGGGCTACGAAGTCTCTAAAGGAATTATCAAACCAGATCCTGAACGAATGAAACCTATTCGTGAACTCCCTCATCCACATGACGCTAAATCCCAACAACGTGTTGTTGGTATGTTTGCTTATTATTCGCAATGGATACCATGCTTCTCTGACAAAATCAGTGTGCTTGTCAGAAATAAGACTTTCCCCTTACCGGAGCGTGTGCAACAGTCTTTCAAAAATTTAAAGAAGGAGTTAGAGAACGCCATGGTTGTGACAGTCGACTACAACGCACCATTGGTTGTCGAGACTGACGCCTCAGACATAGCCATTGCTGCATCTCTGACTCAGAACGGCCAACCGGTGGCCTTCTTTTCTAGAACACTGACACCGAGCGAAAAGAATCACTCTGCTATTGAGAAGGAGGCATACGCCATCGTTGAATCTATCCGTAAATGGAAGCATTATCTCTTCGGGAAGCACTTCAAGCTTATCACTGACCAGCGGTCAGTTTCCTTTATGTATGGTTCGTCGCAGAAAAGTAAGATAAAAAATGATAAAATTCAGCGATGGAAAATGGAACTTTCCGCTTTTAGCTACGATGTGAGCTACAGACCTGGAAAAGACAATCTGGTTGCTGACACCTTATCGCGTAACCTATGCGCCAATGTGATCGGCAATGATAAATTAAAAGAAATTCACGATTCCTTGTGCCATCCTGGAATCACTCGAATGCACCACTTTGTTCTTTCCAAAAACCTGCCGTTCTCTCTCCAAGATGTCAAGGACATCACCACAAAGTGTACGGTTTGCGCCGCCATCAAACCGCAGTTTTACAAACCACCCCCCGCTACGCTCATCAAAGCGACCCAACCATTTGAACGAATTAGCATCGATTTTAAAGGACCTCTACCTTCTGTTACTCGAAACCGGTATCTCCTTACCATCGTTGACGAGTTTTCTCGTTTTCCGTTTGCCTTTCCCTGCGTAGATACATGTGCGTCTACAGTTATTAAATGTCTGTGTGAGTTATTCTCTTTGTTTGGCATGCCTGCATATGTACATTCGGATCGTGGCTCGTCATTCATATCTGACGAACTGTCCACATTCCTACATGACAGGGGAGTTTGCACCAGCCGAACAACTTCTTATAATCCCCAGGGGAACGGGCAAGTCGAACGCCTCAACGGAACACTCTGGAACGCAATCCAGCTTAGACTCAAGACGAAAGGCCTCCAAATCTGTCACTGGGAGTCGGCTCTACCGGATGCCCTCCACTCTATACGGTCCCTTCTCTGCGTCTCCACGAATGTTACTCCACATGAACGGATATTCCGGTTTGAACGCCGGTCATCCTGTGGTTTATCTATACCGACTTGGCTCACTGTTCCAGGACCTGT